CAATCTGTTTAGTCGGGTGTTTGGAACACAATAACTCTCCTTCTAATTGAGCTAGAATGTTCAAACTTGGTGAAGGCGTTCATTAGGTGAATGCCTTGACGGAGTTCTATGATGAACATTACCGTAAGCAGAGATAAGCAATCTGATTAGTTGATGCTTTGGGGCAAGATAACTTTAATTTTAATTAAGTGAGAGTGATGAAACGCCGAGTATAGATTCATTATATCATTACCTTGACTAAGTTTGATGATGAGAATTTTCTGCGTAGACTAAGGAGCGGTAAGCAATTTGATTAGTCAAGACTTTGGAACAGAATAGTGGATAATCAGTTTGATTGCTTGATACTTTTGAACAAAATAAATGTGCTATAAATTAATATATGTCATCTATTTATTTTGGGATTTCGGCGCGGGACATCAGCCTCGCTGTTGGCTTGTTTACAGTGATTTACCTCTCATTTTCTATGGTTGGTGTCTGGCTGGATGTTAGTTCTTTTTGAAGCAGCTTGCAGAGATTGTTTGAATGATTATGTGTCAGAATCATATTAATCATTATTACTCAAAAATCATTATTACTCAACAATCAACAAGTTTTGAAACCTTTAGCTTAGATGAGTGAGATGACTTAGCTGGTGGTGGGTATATGTTTCATTGCCATGACAACCTCTGTTTTATGATGTTATAAAAATGTCAAGAATATAAATTCGCTATAATTTCCTGGTCATGGCAACCTTTTAGAGAGAATATTAATTACATTTTTTAAAATTTGATTCAAGAAAATCTAAAAATCTATCCATATTTTCTTAAAGGCCCAATTAGACGACCTAAGCATATATTGAATTGCCTGGCAAGCCATTTTATTAAAAATCAAATAGGGATCAGAGTATAATTTGCATCCTGTCATTGATATTTGTCATTCTAATGAAGGGCTCATAGAAGGAATGTCTGTTCTGATTATTATTAATAACATATTTTAAAAGTGAAAATATGAAGTTGACATGCTGGTATTATAAATGGTGTTATATATGTATGAAGAGAAATAGTCAATATGTTCACCAGCTAATTCTGTGTTCTCAAACATTGTCATCTTATGAAGTTTGATTGTCAAATGACCTTGTTTTTACTGGAAGCCAGATTTAAATATAGAATAGACTTTTTAGATTTCTTTATTCAGAACCAGACATGTTGCTTTTGGTGGTACTAATTGGGATTTGTACATTTGAAGTTGACCGACCCTGTGGGAGAAATGGGGGAACTTTCAGGGGTGTAGCAAGGTTCGAAAAGATAGCAGGAATGAGTACATTAAAAAGGGTGTCATTACACATACCAAACACATCTAAATTCATTATTCATTTGTATTTTGATTTTGATGAGCCCAAAAAGTTATTCAAGGCCATCCATCAAACAATAAAAGAAAATGAGATTTGACTTTTATCGTTGAAGTAAAGAAAACGAACCACATTTTAACATGTGCTCAGAGGCAGCAAATATTGCCCATGGCCTCTCCCTAGCTTATAAGCCACTGGGTACCTCAGTTTCACAGATTTTCAAGTTTTTATGGTAAACGTCTTGAAATGGCAAATTTAGACTTGATACACATTTTTATATGCCTTGTTTACACTTGGAGGCGATATGCGTGCTGGTACCAGGCCATGAAAAATTTCAAGAAATTGACCCGCTTACATTGCTCTAAAATAACCGGTGTTGGAACTGTGCAAGGCACACCAAATGTGGAACTCTTCACAGAAACGTAAATTTCAGTCCCTATGCAAATGACCGGGATGAAAATAATTATGGTGATTGGTTAAGTTTAGGCAGCCATTTTGACAGAAATGATGACAGAACTATCAAAGTTTGCTGGAAAAAAGGTCAAGGTTCATTTAGCGCATGTACAGTAATCCATACCGAGAACTGTTCTTAGACTGGATAGCAATTACGCTACGAAAATTTAATTGTCGTGCCTGGCACCGTTTCAAGATCAGCTGACTTCAGTGGGCCAAATTGGCACCGTACTCAGTACGACATGCTTATATTTGACCCGTTTACACTACAAAAAAATTAACCATGCTGTGCCTGGTACTGTGGATGGCATGCTTAAAATTTGTAATGTAAATGGGGTTATACTTGAGTTGTACTTTTTCAGATTTATTAAGTTGAAATCAATAGGGGTATCTTAATGGGTTAGATGTGACTTCTCTGAAAAATAACTTGATGAATTTCATTGAAATGGGGTAGATATATTGCTTAATTAGATTTGTTGAAATGAGGTTCATCAGAGTGTTGGGGTAACCTTAAAGGCTCAAAGTTAGACATGATTGTGTTACTACATGTACAACAAATTGTAGGAATTTGTAAAGGGGGAGGGGGTTAGACAACACTCCCTTAAAAGAGTAGCATTTGAAAAAGGGTTGCAAGACCTGAAACATTATGAATATACGTTACCGCTCTATTCTAAACACCTGTTTGTACTTCTGGTCGAGAAGGGATTATTCTATGTTGGCTTTTCTACATACTGCAAATTGTCATGTGTACACGGTACGAGAGAAATTATTATATATTCATAGCATAATTTAACCCACAGATAAGGAATGAAATGGGATTTAACTTCCTACTTTTCTGCACCAACTGGGCTAATGAAGATTCGACAGGCATACAGATAGTGGGCTTCAGCTCTTGTAATATACTCTTCAAAAAAAGTAGGGGATTTTAATATGCAAATACCTATGCAGGTTGTGATATGATAAATAGTCATGGACACTTGACATGCTTTGAGAGTATGTTCATAGGTGAAGAACTTATCGCCCCAACATATCCACTGAGCTGCATGTGCGACACGCAATAGCGCCATACACGTGGGAGGGGTTCATTGTCAAATTTGACACTTCAAGGAAGGGTTGATGAAAACTGCCGTCTGCTGGTTTATCCTATCCATGTTTGCTTTCCTATCGGTTCTTAAATAAGATTTACTGTTTAGCGTATCTTTGCTTTAGTGTGTTACGTTTAATTTGATCGGGAGACATGTTCGTCAACGTAAACATCAAACGACAACACTGCAAGAATTGGCCGTGGCACTGCAAGAGGAGTGGGTCAGATTGCCCCAAATCGTGATCGGACGGTCGATTAGGAGCATGCCACAACGAATTGCTGAATGTCTGAGGATTGGTGGAGCAATTACTCATTATTAAGACAAAAATCAAAAACGTCCATTTTCACTTTTGACAGTGTATCTCTTTGCGAGTGAAATGGGGGGCCGTCAGATAAGCCGGCCATATGAACTGTTTATGTTCATGTGTAGGCAATTGGCCTGTTATTAACATACACTGGTTACCTCTAATAAAAACAGCAGTACATTTCCTTTCGCAGTTTAGTAGGCTATTGTTTCTGAATATCCCCTACTTTTTTTGAAGAGTATATTAAGCCAGCATGATGTTAGTTGTTGATATTAGCAACAAGATGTACATTATTAGTAAATATTATTTTACAGGTTTATGATGGTGCTTATTTGCCTTATATTTAGTGTCTTATCTACTATTGACCAGTATGAATCTTTTGCGAACGAAACATTATTTGGAATGGTAAGTATGCTCTATTTTAGTTGAAATTTTTTAAATAGAATTTCCATGTTTTCCGTTAAGATTGTGAGCAGGTTGAATTTTAATTGTCCCCCACCTTTCGAAGAACATGTGTGCAATGCTTATGTAGAAACCTGTTTAACGGTTTCATTGTTACCTGAAGTGACATAAGTTCAAGGGTAACTTGGCTCCAGAAGTGACTTAAGTTCAAGGGTAACGTGGCACCAGTGAAACCCGTCATTACTGCATCGCAGTTCTAGTTTTAATATAAAATCTTTTTCTTTCAGGAAATTTTTCTTGTGGTATTTTTTGGTTGTGAGTATGCGATACGATTGTGGTCTGCTGGATGTCGAAGTAAATATATGGGATTACGTGGGAGGTTTCGTTTTGCAAGGAAACCTATATCTGTTATAGGTAGGTTTATTATTAGTTCTTTAATCTGATGTAAAACTTGACAGAAATACTACTGTTCAAAATGAAAGCTAAGTTCACATACTTTTACCCTATGTTTTTTTTTCCAAGGAAAATAATTTGTCGAATAACTACCGTACACAATTTGGTTATTTTTAGTTAATGAAATAGATACCTGCACAACAAAAAAAAGATAGAACAAATGATACAGTAACAGAGTAGGAACTGTAATATTAGATAGACATCCCCAGATGACCACCTTCCCACATTTTCTTGTTAGTCTTGAATAACACTTTTAGGTATCTGCAAATGTGTTTAAAACTAAGTTGGGTTGCACCAAAAGAAGGTAGACTTTCTTACAGAGAAATTATTGATAACTTGATGGCTTAAACCAAACCACTGTTAGGTGATTAAGCCCACTTTGGCTCTTGTTTATTTTAGGAGTAAACATTAGATCCTTTTAACAAGTCGACCAGTTGATCTTTTATAATATAAATGGGTGGTCTAAGATTGGAATTAATCCCTGATTATCAGTCTAGATAGAATCTAAGGGCTTATTTTACCTCACTCTATACTGGTAGCAGACTTATATATAATGGTTGTTCTAGCAAGTCATTAAGAGGTTGAAAGCACTGCTTCCTAATCTGACATCATTAGTGTTAGCTATGACACCTGCTTCATCTTATATATAGTTAGTTGTGTGGTCATAAATAACAATAATAATACCATGTCTTACTATGTGTTAACTAAATGGATGGATGGATGAAGGAAATGTGCGAACGCACCAATCCAAACAAAAAACAGGGGCTCTTGTTAAAGAAAATCATCTCTGTTGACTAATGAATAAAAAAGCTATTTATTAAATTGTGGCATTTGATTTGAATAGTTAAACAGGTAAACAAACCTTTATTTCAGAGACCTGGTGAAAAAAGATGTTTTAGTTTGTTAGGTAACAAAACGTACAATAAATGTCAAAATTTAACCTTTCTGAAGGACAAGATGAAAACTGGCCAACTGCATGGCTGTTGAGGAAAGAGTTAATCATAAACACTGCTTCTTTTCAATTACAGATTTCATAGTAGTAGTAGCATCGTGTGTAGTGCTTTCTATTGGTTCAGAGGGACAGGTATTTGCAACATCTGCTATCAGGTACATTAGTCATGTTATATTCAGCTAGACAATAATGACCTACAGTAATTTTAATGTATTTTCATATCATCATTGTCACTGTTTATCACTCTACTGTTTTTGAGATTTGTTTATCAAAACCTGTTGGGCTTATTCATAAACATAAAGACTGTGTTGCCCATCAGTTATATCAGTATTGCCCATACCATTGAAAGTTTGTAATCCTTTAATAGGTTAGAGTTTTTAAGTATAACTCCAGCTGTATGAGTAAAAACATAGTTTAACTCTAGCTATAGGCCCTATAAGTAAACATATAGTTTAACTCTAGTCGTACAAGTAAAAACATAGTTTAACTCTAGCTGTAGGAATAAAAACATCTAAACACCGATGAATCCTAAGCAGCTTTCAGGAATACTTCCTATAGTGAATAATGGCATGTGGTTTAAAGATATTTAGTAACAAAATACACAGATTACTATATTAATAGAGTTCAAGTACAACTAATGATTATGTTTGACATAAAAACATTATTTCTGGGTGGAATGTCAACAGACTGGATGTAATCCATTCTGCAACAATAACTACTAGCTGTCTACTGTCTTTAAATTACCTCACAAATGATGAAAAATGGCTCTAGTTAACTAAGTCTTTAATCATGGCTGATTTGTTGCAGGAAATATTGAAAAATGACCATAAAGCATATGATTGTACCAAGCTGAATAAACTACTTATTATTCTGATATGTCTATCAGCTTAGGGGTAAAGATTTTGTTGCCTGACAATCTATTCTTTTCTGGATTTAAGGGAAATGATGTTTTAAATTAATGCTTTATATCAAATGGAGCTTCCTTTAAATAAAATAGGAATAATGACAAGAGTCTGATAATGTCTGTGTCGGTTTTGTTAATAATGACATGTTCATGTATTTGATAAACTGATTGATGACTTCATGATTACAACAAAGCATTAGTCCAGCATGCTAGCGTGATAATTGTACACACTTTAACTCATGATTTTAGTTTTCGTGTCAGTTATACACAGAGCATTTTTCATTAGAAGTAGATGGATTTTCCAATCTAAATAGATTTTTTGAATAACAAACCTTTCTCTCTTCTGTGCAGATCAAAAAGCCTTTATAAAATTTAAGCATACTGTCTAAACAGGATATTTTACAAAGATACTAGGATTTGTCAGAATCTTTTCGATGTAAACTAAGAGTATCAGTAAGATAAGATAAGATAAGACAAGGTTTTATTGTATCATACAGAGTAATGAATAAACTGAATTTTAATAAAATATCAGCAAAGGCAATTGGGTGGATTATTTTATACGGATCAGTTTATCTTAAATGGGTATTATTTATTAATGTCTACTGTAAGTTTACATCATTTGTGGATTAGGACCCTTGGGAGACGGGGGGATGGTAGGGGGTGGTAGACACTGCCCCTTTGTGGGACTCTCTTTAGTATGGAAAAGTGCAGATTATTTATTTAATAGAAATGGGATGTTTAGCGCATGCGTACTGTATTGTAAGGCCTGTCATTGAGTCTACTGGTGTGGTTTCGATTTCCCGGTTGTACATGACAAGGTGTAGGGTCGGCTGTCCAACCTTGTGGGTTTTCTCTGTGTTCCCTGGTTTCCTCCCACAGCTAAAAACCCCTACGCACAAGCAAATTATTGAAATAAAATAGAACCATATGTTAGTCCCAAAATTACCTAGTTTGTGTCAGTGGACATTAAGCTCTCTCTCTCTCTCTCTCTCTCTCTCTCTCTCTCTCTCTCTCTCAATAAAAGAAAAGAAATTGAGGGTTATTAGTTGCACAATTGTGGAATCGTATAGGAATTCATCATTTTTGTCCGTCTGTCTGTCCGTCACACTTTCTGGGACTCTCCTTTAATTGAGCTAGAACGTTCAAACTTGGTGTAGGTGTTTATTAGGCCAATGCCTTGATGGAGTTCGAAGATGAGCATTTTCTGCTTAGGGTAAACAGAGATAAGCAATTTGATTGGTTGATGCTTTGAGACAAGATAACTTCAGTGAGAGTGATGAAATTTAATGTATAGTTTTATTACATTAATACCTTGACTAAGTTCGATAATGAGCACTTTCTGCTCAGGGTAAGCAGAGGAAGCAATTTGATTGGTCAAGACTTTGGAACACGATAATTGAGGTAGAATGTTCAAACTTGGTCTAGGCGTTCTTTAGGTGAATGCATTGATGGAGTTAGATGATAAACATAGTCTGCTTACCGTTAGCAGAAATAAGCAATCTGATTGGTTGATGCTTTCGGGCATGATAACTTTGATTATAATTAAGTGAGAGTGACGAAACTCTGAGTATAGATTCATTATACTTTGACTAAGTTCGATGATGAGAATTTTCTGATTAGGCTAAGGAGCGATAAGCAATTTGATTGGTCAAGACTGAGGTAGAATGTTTAAACTTGATGTAGATGTTCATTACGTGAATGTCTTGACTGAATTCAATGATTAACATTTCGAGCTAATGCTTTGGGATAAGATAACCTTGATTCTATCTGATAGAGAGTGAAGAAACTTAGTGTATAGTTGATAATAATTTTGATTGCTTATACTTTTGAAACAAAAATAAATGTGCGATTAATTAATAAATGTCATCTATTTATTTTGCGATTTCGGCGGAGGAAATCAGCCTCACTGTTGGCTTGTTTTTATATTAAATGCAGATACTTTGCATGCTGTTGCGATACGTGAACATGCCTACAAAGATGGTTCTGGATGGATTTTGTTAATTTGGATATACAGGAATCCACCATTGAAATTCAGAAAGTTTCAAATGACAAATCTAATGAAAAAGTAGTAATTAAGTTTACCAGAATGTACAAATGTGTAATTGTAGTTTTTACACAGAATATATGATCTATTGAGGCTTTTTGCCCCATTCTACTTTATCCTCCATTGCTTGCCAAAATTATTAAAAATGTATCTTTTTCAAATCTATAACCCATTTTGACAGAATAGTAGGACTCGTAGATTTTAATCGGCAGACAGCTTCTATCATATAAGAATTACACCAATTTACATATATTATATGTTAATAATCAAAATTCAGACATTCATATTTCCTTTAACATGTGCTAATTTGGGATGTCATGGCTGAATCATGAATAATGTGTCTATAGTTTCAAGTTAAACTAGATACCTGATAGTGATCATAATGTGCATACTTCTGTTAATATTTTTATAAACCCAGATTGCAGTGCAAATGATCTATTAGAAACAATTATAGTATTATTTACTTGAAATTTATATGCATAGTTTAGGTTTAGGTGTGATAAAGAAGCATATCATATTTTAGATTGTTATATATGTTTGAACATGACAAAATGTTATTCTGTCAAATCAGTTATAAGTTTATCTCTAGAACTTGGTGTGTGTACATAATTGTTTCATAGTTACTGAATAAATAACTCTTTGTAAAATCAAAATATGACTCTGAAAGCAAGCTCGAATTAAAAGTCACCAAAACTCAGGTCTATAGTCTGTTTATAAGGTGTCGTGTGACAGGGGAAATAATTGATGGGTCGTATTCAACACTAAAATACATGTAATTGTTGATTTTATGTTGATACATTTGTCAAAAGAACAAATATTGATCATGAAAATGTTGAAAATAAAAGCAGTAATAAAACCCAGCAGAATGTGGGCATTTAAATAGGAGCTAAAGCTGAACTCCGGTTACAAAAATACTGAAATAATTAAATAAAAAAAAGTTAACACCCCCAAGCCGCCATATTTGTTTCTTATTTGTGAAATAAATATGGCGGACATGGAGGCTTATGACCTAGAAAGGTTAGCCGATCTCACTTCCAGTTTGTTTCTTGTCAGCCAACTGTACACATCAGCAACTTTTCCTGAGCAATAAGGCTTCTTCCCAAACACAGAATTGAACCCAGGAAATGTTCTCAAAAACCCAACCTGACTTCTGAAATGGTAATGTGTTCTCCATAATGTTCATATAACTCATGCTGCACGTGCTGTTCACCAGGACGAGCCCTATAAAATGCACCCCCGTACCTGGTTGACCCATTCACACTACAATGTCAGCAGCATGCCACGACTCAGGACAGCTCAGATGAAACAGGCGCTTGGAAGACTCGACGCTGGCCAAACTGCCCAAGCTGTCGCCAATCACTTCCAGGTCAGTGTTCAGACCATCTACAAACTTCAGCAACGCTTTCTGGTCACCAACACCACGGATGATTGCCCCCTAACTGGTAGACCAAGGGTTACCACAGGGCTACAAGACCGCCATGTTGTGCGACAGCACGTGCAGAATCCCGTCACACAGGCATTTGAGACAGCACGTCAGACAGTGGTAAGACACGAAAGACCCATCAGTAGCGATACAGTGCGCCGACGTCTCACCAGAGAGAACATCCATTGTTGTAGACCTTGCCGTGGACTAATCCTCACCCCTCATTATCGACGTGAACGTCTACAGTTGGCACAACAACACCAGAACTGGCGACACAGGCAATGGGGAACTGCTCTGTTCACAGATGAGTCGGTATTGCGTATCAACTGCAGATGGCCTGAACCAGAGAGTGGGTTCTGTGGTGTTCCAAAATCTGGGTCCAGGGAGAGGAGGCGACATCACAGCAGTGCACTACATCGATCAAGCTCTCAGACCCCACGTCATACCACATTTCACATCATCGAAACAACATTTCCCATACGACCAGAGTTACTCAGGACTTTCTACAGCAGAACGGTGTCAACGTTATGCACTGGCCAGCCCTTAGTCCAGACTGAAACCCGATTGAACATCTTTTTGATGAAATTCAGAGGAGACTTAATAACGTCATACTGAGACCAAACACAGACGATGGATTGCGCCAGGCTTTTCTGAAAGTGTGATTCCAGGTGCCAATGGCATTCATCAATTGTCTGGTCCACTCCATGTACAGACGCTGCGCTGCTATTATTGACACTCGCGGTGGACACACCAGATACTGATGTATAGACTGTGTAGTGTACAGACTCTAAACCTTCTTGTAATGTCTTGGAATTGTGATGATTAATCACTAATGTGTCAACATACTGTTCACAAAAAATTGCTTTGATCCATTTAGTAAGTCGTTTTCTAGAATGATTTGATTAAAGCGCCTCTCTGATTTTGAAATCATACTGAGGTTTTTTTGGCTGTTTAGTATACAATATAATAGAAACACCATATTTAATAGATAAAAATCACAATTTACTGTATTATGGATATATTAGTCTTATGATCAGATTTCTATATGTCGCTTCTGTGTTATAAAACTATGTAACTAAATGTAATCTCAGTGAATTATTTTAAAAATTATTTTGTTTTGTTTTTTAGGGGTGTTCGATTTCTACAGATTTTACGTATGTTACATGTAGACAGACAGGGTGGAACATGGAGGTTATTAGGTTCTGTGATATATCTTCATAGACAGGTAATTGATAACTTTATTTTTGTTGTATTTATACATGTAGATAAAAAAAATATAAAAACTGTGTAAAATCACGATGATCAGTAGCATTGAGGCGACAATTTCTTTAAATTTCACCATCTCAATGTAATTGGACTTAATTGATCCAGCAGATGAAGAAAGCTGTTACACTGAATTTAAACACAATTTTGAGGTCTTATTAATTGTTAAATTGAAAGAAAATAAGCAGTTTCAGTGGTGTGTAAGTGTGCCTTGGAGCAAGATAGAGTCTTTACACACTTACTGTATTGAACATAACAAATACCCTTCTCTACTAAACATGTGTTATCTTGGAACTGTTAATCTATTTGGCCTGAAAGTAAGCCTGCACAGTTATTACATTAGATACTGTATAGAGAATTTTTATATTTGAAGAACAAGTGCAGTGTATGTGATGTTGAATAAAATGATTTTAGATGACATATTCAATTTGTCAAAACCAGTTGCTCTACAACTAGAAATTTTATCTTTACTGTTAAAGACTAAAAGATAGTCAGAATTATGGTTAAAAAGCTATAAATCTAACAATCTTTAGAGTTAAGATGGTATTAAAATTTGTAATTATATTCTCAAATCTTGAATTGCATGGATGAAGTATAGATCTCACGGACTTCAGTTGACTGTTTCAGACCAGGGCATGTGACACATATATAAGTTTTTATATTAGTCTTGATCTCTTCAGACTAAATTGTCTCCCCTTCGACAAAAAATAATTTCGTCATACTATATGTCTGTTATGTGAAATGTTATCTCAATTCACCAATTAACAATGCATTCCAAATATTTCAAATAGACAGTGAAGATCATTTTCTTCACAACAAATCATACAACATTCAAGGATCTCTGAATTGGTGCTGCTCTGTCCAGAGTCTGATTCAACTACCATGAATATTCATGGTAGTAGAATCAGAGACAATGTAGACTGCAGCCTAGTTGTTGAGCTATTGAATGTATATGTTTTCTTTTATTTCAGGAGTTAATAACAACATTGTATATAGGTTTCCTTGGCCTTATATTCTCCTCATATTTTGTATATTTGGCTGAGAGAGAGGATGGAAAGGCAGATTTTGCCAGCTATGCAGATGCTTTGTGGTGGGGAGTGGTATGCACATTTTTTAATATTTTTCAATTACATTATATAATTGTCCCCCACTTTTTGAAGAAAGCAGGGGACTTTTAAAATGTGTCTGTCTGTCTGTCTGTCCATCCGTCCGTCCGTCCGTCCTACCGTCCGTCCGTCTGTCCGTCACACTTTTTTGGGACACAATATCTCTCCTTATAATTGAGCTAGAATGTTCAAACTTGGTGTAGGTGTTTATGAAGGAGTTTGAAGATGAGCATTTTCTGCTTAGGGTAAGCAGAGATAAGCAATTTGATTGGTTGATGTTTTGGGACACAATAACTTTAGTTCTGATTAAGTGAGAGTGACCAAGCTTTGTGTATATTTTCACTAAGTTCGATAATGAACATTTTCTGCTCAGGCTAAGCAGAGCGATCAGCAATTTGATTGGTCGAGGCTTTTGAACACAATAACTCTCCTTCTAGTTGAGCAACAACGTTCACACTTGGTGTAGGTGTTAAGTAGGTGAATGCCTTGATGGAGTTCGAAGATGAAAATTTTCTATTAAGGGTAAGCAGAGATAAGCAAGTTGAATGGTTGATGCTTTGGAACACGACAACTTTAGTTCTAATTAAGTACGAGGCCAAAGTTAATATCCGATTGACTTTAAATTTATACACAGTGTTTAAGGTCATTTCCAATAATTACTGCCAGAGTTATGGCCTTGATCACTTCAAAAAATCTTGTGGATGCTCTAGAGGCTAAAGTTAATATCCAATTGACTTTAAATTTATACACAGTGTTTAAGGTCATTTCCAATAATTACTGCCAGAGTTATGGCCTTGATCACTTCAAAAAATCTTGTGGATGCTCTAGAGGCTAAAGTTAATATCCAATTGACTTTAAATTTATACACAGTGTTTGAGGTTGTGAGACGAAGAATTCTATTGATTTTCAGCAATTTCTGATAATTACTGCCAGAGTTATGGCCCTTTATCACTTCAAAAAATCTTGTGGACGCTCTAGAGGCCAAAGTTAATATCCGATAGACTTTAAATTTATACACAGTGTTTAAGGTCATGAGACGAAGAAGCCTATTGGTTTTCAGTGATTTCCAATAATTACTGCCAGAGTTATGGCCCTTGATTTTCAACGATTTCTGCTCTAAAGGCTAAAGTTATCATCTGATTGACTTTAAATTTATACACAGTGTTTGAGGTTATGATTGATACACAGAGTTTAAGATCTTGAGATGAAAAAGTATATTGATTTTCAATGAATTTTTATGACTTGAACAAATTCATGATATTAAAAGTTTTATACAAACGTTAGCATGGGGCAGAACTTTATAAAAACCAAACAAATTCTAATGGTTTTCTGCTAATTACTTCATGAGTTGTTACTCTTAATCAGATTTTAGTGTATTATAAATGTTTCATTACCGAAAAAAGTAAGAATATGCGACAACTGTTGTTGACTGCCCAGACGAATTAGCTGCTGAGGGCGTATCTTTCGTTGCCTGGCAACCTATCTTTAAAAATTTGATGGAAGTTTCGTTGGTATTTTCTATACATTGCTGTAAATTTTACATCTAGTCGTTTCAAGTTACCGATAGTTTTCATGCAACATAGATCCACTGATTGATCCATTGTTATAACTTACCGGTATCATTAATTATCTAATGGTGAGTTGTCACTGTATGCTTTATGAAGTTGTTTGTAGTTCACAAATTCATTGTTTCTTTGATTGGTATTAAAAATACTATTGTACTATGTTACTGATAGATCTAAATGGTTACAATCTAGGTATTGTCATGCCATGTGTAGTGGGCGGGACAATGGACACCATCGTTTGATTGCCAGTTTGGATAGTATAAAGTATACTAGAATTATTGTGGACAATTAAATCAACCTGTCAATAATATCATATTTCATGTATTGGACATTAAATCTTTAATAAACAACAGCAACATTGTTTCTCATTTACCGGTAGTCAGGATTGAAGTCTCAGTAGCTGATTATGTTCATTTATTTCTACAGTTACTATTTCATTTGTTCATCACCAATACCTATTCATTTATCACAGCCATTTGCTCATGAATTTAACAGGAGGTAATAGATGGTCATGTTTGTTGTGGGCAGGACTGTAACGACAATTTTACTACCGTACGAGCGCCAGAATTACCATTTAAGTTATGAAAGAGTATAATTGAAAGTTATAATTAATATAAAGTCTTATGCAATTCCAAAAATTACAGCTAAAAAATCCGGCACAAGCGGTGTCGGGCGATTTTGACCAAACTTTGCAGATTTGGTCATTGGGTACCCCGTATACCCCACATGAAATATGTGGGTCACCAACCTTGTAGTTACGGAGAACCAGCTATGGCCATTTTAGTGTTAAAAACCGGTGATTTTTTTATAAAAAAATTCCTTAAATTCAAATATTTCCCATAAATTGTCTATTGATTTTTTATTTTTTTAAATTATTTTTTCATGAATGATCATGTCTACTACTTCAATATATATGACTATTAAATTTTTCCGACAACCATTTCAGGCTATGAGGAATTTATTTTGAGACGTAGTTTTTGCTATATGCTAAAACATATAAATTTCATGATGCTATATCTCACCCACTGCGGGGCTGAGGACAATTATATTTATAATGGAAGATGATGACTACTAATACTAATATTTGGTTTTGACAAAATGACTGGCACGGATTTCTTTCATATTAAATTTGGTGGTCGAACTTGAAGAAAATGACTTCATTTTTGACATCATTTGTCCAATAAAATCATCCATTGCCTGGATTATTAGGCCTGATAATGCCCCATGCAACCGCCTACCAGCAACCCTGTGTAGGGCCGGTACAGATGATTCGGGAGTTCCACAAGGATCAGTCCTTGGGCCTGTCCTTTATGTAATGTGTACTAAGAAATTGGGACAACTAATCGATAAGCGTGGTTTCTAGGACGACATTCTTATGCAGATGATACACAGCTGATCGCAAGTTATTCCCTTTCAAAAACTTTTTCATTCCCTAATTATTCTGACATCAAATTGTGTACACATGAAATTAAAGATATAATGACAAGAAATATGTTGAAATTAAATTTAATTGAATTAAGTAAATCAGAATGTATTTTATGTGGTCAAAATACAAATCTGAAAAATACAAGTTCAAATGATGCACATACAAATTCCCTCGAGTAACCTCCGGCCGAACACACATTCATCACATTCATCAGGTGGAAATTAATATCATTTGGATACGGATCGTGCTCAGTGAATGCGCCTAAACTGCGTAAAAATCTTCCAGAGATCATTAAATCATCTCAAACCCTTTCTTGTTTTACATCAAGACTTATCAAGATTAATTAAATTAATTTAATTGTATGTGCAGTGGACATTCTTCTGTACATGGTGTACATGCGCTATATAAATGTACATATTAATAATATTATTATTCGTCAGGCCGAAGCTAGATTTGCACTTTCGTTTAATCTGGGGTCTTCCCTAAAACTTTGGACATGTATTAATGTATTAAAAACGGTGAAAGAATTGTTCGTCTCCAAACAGTATTGTTTACATTGTAGCCATGTTGATAGCCTCGTTTGTCACGCAATTAGTTTTTCTGCAATATTCTGCTATGCACTGGTTAATTGGGCGTAATAAATTTTGTGAATCATGACGTAACGTTATGTTAACATATTTGAAACTCTGTTTAAACCAGAATTATATTGTTACACAGTTAGGTATTGGTTGTTAATCGGACTATTGACCAATCATAATTTGGAACAGAAATTTGCTTTCATTACGGCAGTGTTGAGTGGGATTAGGTCTAATCAAACGAAACACTGCGGGGAGTATGCTAAAATATTGACCTTACGGTCATATACAATTTGTTTTTGTCTTTTTGAAATATCGCTTGATTCGTTTGTCAAGTATAGACAGATATATATATATGACTACTACACTATTTAGTTTTTACTTTGCTGTTCAAAAATTCATCATCCTTCTACTAGATCATGAGGTTATATTGCCGAATTAATAAAATGTTGACAAAAAGTCTAGAGAGATTAATTGTATTTACCAAGAACAGCTCTTTTGGCATTTACAGTAAATTAAGCTTTTCAAACTTGATCGTTTGAAAATTTTAACGGTGTAATTGTGAGCTCCGTTTTCGTGATGAGATACTTATTGGATAGATAGATAAATAGATAATTTGGTTTCAAGTGCCATGTTACAATTTTGAGTGTGTAAATAAAGCGGTTTATTTTTTCGTCATTTTTGTTAAAAATCGTTATTTTTGTACAAAAATGGAAATTATTTACTACTAAACGGGTAAAGTGCCACCCAATTTTTTTCTTGATCTTAATACTATAGATCATTGTCTTTTCAGTCAGCTTTCAAAAAAAATACTTAAACCCGCAGTGGGTGAGATATAGATAGAATAAAATGACATACCTAAATTGAGCTAATTTGGTACCTTGCAGCAATAAGTCCCTATACCAAAAACCGCTCCATGAAAATCCATCAAACTTTCAGAATGTATACTCACTAACCATATCTGCTACGCTATAAAGTTTCATTAATCTACTCGCCGTAGTTTAGTTGTACGAAATAATTGAAAAGTGGCCTGAAAATGATGATTTTTTGGCTTTTTTCGGTCTTAAAATTTCAATTTTTTTTCTACACTCTAAAAATGGCTCAATTGATCTAAAATTGTGGCAGTGGGGTTTGGAGGGGTTATCCATCATACATAAAAAAAATGGTGAAAATCGGTCACCCACTATGTGCCGGTCCCTGCATGGTTCTCTCGCAAACGCATTCTTAAGTACATTCTAGGAACAATCCTATTGTCTGTTAGAAATATAAATTGTTCATATTAATGACGTGCAGCCAGGAAAAGTGTTTCTGGATGATCCAGAAAAGTAAGACCTTAAACCCAATTTCATTTCATTTCACTTTGTTTCAGATAACTGTAATGACTATAGGCTATGGTGATAAAGTACCACAAACATGGATGGGGAAAATAGTTGCTTCATGTTTTGCTGTTTTTGCAATTTCCTTTTTTGCTCTTCCAGCAGTAAGTATTTATATTCATAATAGAAGTGAGTATGGTCAGGTTATCATTTAAGATTATTAAATGCTTGACGTGATCAATAGATAATAGTGAGCATGGTCAAGTTATCACACATTGCGTGAACAATAGATAGTAGTATGGGGAGAGAGAGAGAGAGAGAGAGAGAGAGATTTAACTGTAACCTCCACTCAACACTAGGTCTATTTTAGGTCATTTCAGGACTGTAAGTCAGTCATTTTTGATCTGCTTGCATTAGCATTTGGGAAATGGGAGGAAACCCACAAGGTTAGGCAGGTGGCCATAATACCTGTGCCACCTCTGCAACAGTTCGTAGTGGCACAGCTTGAGTTTGAACCTGTCGTCCAAGTTCATCCCAAAGGTGTTCGATCGGGTTCATGTTGACGTCGGTAGATACGGTGACGTCCATCAGGAAAACTGAGGTTGAATTGGGATGCATCCGAGAAGATGACATTTCGCCATGGTTCGTTGTGCAGATACCCCTGATTTGCGGCCCATTGCTGTTTAGCAAGTCGATGATGATGAAAAAGGATTTGACCATGGTAAGGTGGATGGCAGCGTAACCCAAGAGCAACCAGGCGCCTTCGGATTGTTTGAGGGCTGATCTGACGTTGCCGTGTTCCAACAGTTCCCCTGGCAGTAGCATGTTGTGTAGATGCTGTAGTCGGATGTGGCGATCTTGAGCAGCGGTTGTTACAGGTGGCGCTCCAGGCTGGGGGCAATCGGCAACTCTTCCAGTGGTGTGGAAGCGTTGTCTGAGGCGAGCAATGGTCGAAGTGATGAATGTTGAAGTTTTGATCTGTATTTAAAGGGCCAGAGTGCAGGGAATGCACGTGCAAAACGTGTGACATGGGACTGCTTAAAATCGTGAAAAAAGACAAGTGTTGGGTTTGCACGAACAAAGTTCATTACCGAGAACTGATATTGGGTTGAAACCCAGAACTCCACAAAAAGAGACCCATCACAAGTTTCACCTATGTGCCATAAGATAGGAAAGCTTTGAGTATATATTTAATTTGAAAATTGATGTAATGTCTTGTCAAACGGTGTCAAAGATTTTGTCATTATTATATATTTGTCAACAATGTTTCACCATAGATTGAAAAACATTTACAAGCATTAAAGTTACATAATGTTAAACATAATTATGTTAGGTTTTCCCCTTTCCTAGATCATATATCCCTTTAAAGAGGTAATGACAAGGTTAAGTGTGTGTCAGTGCCTAATCCTTGTCTTGGGAAGTGGATACAGTCAATATGATGACATTGGTTCACCATTCTTCAATATGAAGATATTTATACATTTTATTTTGACTTCTATCATTGCTTAAGTATGATGACATTGTAGCATACATTTCTCAAGAGAGTTGGCTCAAACAAAGTAATTCAGCATTATTCAAAGTAGAAGATGAAAATATAGAAATCACAAGAGAATATTATTATTACCAGTACTCTGATGTAGACAAGAAGAAAGATTAAAACATAAATATACAGGTCCTTTCCTGAGATATTACTGTTACTCGCAGACTGAACTCTCACTAAACAATTCATGACAATGTCACAGTACGGCACGGTAGAAGCTTTGACTTGTTGAATAAAACAACATGAGTATATGTTTGGTTATACCGTTATTGTACAGTACCATAAAGCAAAGTATTAATTTATCATGTTGCTTTATGTTTTAAACAATAATTCCAACTGCTTATTATTACCCTAGTAAAAATCTTTGATGTAGTTGTATATTTATATATTTTTTACCCTTTTTACTCATTATGATGAGGCATATAATGCGTACTGTATTGTATATTATGATGAGGCCTATACTGCATACAGTATTGTATTATGATGAGGCATATACTGCATACTGTATTGTATTATAATGAGACATATACTGCATACTGTATTGTATTATGATGAGGCTTATACTGCATAATTAAATTCATTTTATATTAAATTCCGAAGTGAATAATTTGAACTTTGTGGATCCTGAAAACCTTTACACTGTAAGGACATGGGTAGCTTTGGATATCATAAGCATAATTTGTCTCTCTTTATATGAGAACAGCAGTGCCTATAAAGCATTTTATAGTTTGGCCCACTTCACTACTTTTTTAAAACATAAATTAATATATAAATATTTGGTTCCAATAATGTGGTATTGCCCCACATGATGCAAGAAAGGGAAGTTGATCGAATCATGCAAATCTCGCAATTTTATATGTTTCTGTGGGAATACTTCAAGAGTAGAATGTATCTTGGAATCCTTCAGTGTAAGCAAATTAAATACTAACTGCTGAGTCTTCTCAAAACATTATTTGTAGTTTCGAACATCTCATGATGGTAATTAATAATGAACATTTTGAACATTTGTGTCTGAATCTAAAATTAACTTTTACGTAGTATATTGTCTTTCTAATGATATTGGTTGCAGAAATACAACATTAAATTTTTATTTTACCTAATATCATTATAACAGATGACTGATTACAATCCTCACTCACATATAGACAAAAAATATTAAAACAAAAGACAGTATTCTATTGGGAATTAATTAATATTGATTTCTGAAAAGAATAGATAATAGAGAATGTTGTTAAATCTGATTATCTTCATAGTTACATGTATCTCACTAGAAAAAATATATATTCACATGAGGGCTACAAATTTGATAATATTATCAATCACATTCTGTTAGACACAGATATATACCATAATATCCATTGAAATAAGGTCTGATACGATCAATAGACTTTTTCATCTAATTTGTTTCTTGTCTTCTGTCATGCCCAAAATTAAAACTTGGATTAAAATATTTCATCTTTTAGTCTGAAACACTGATAACTTGAATAGTTTTGGGACCAAATTAATATGAAAACAAATGAACCTGTGTTTTACATGGGGTAGATCTAGGTAATTTGGGGTGGAAAATCGAATGTTGGAATAGTGCAATGCAGGTTTTTTGTTAAAGACAACGATAATGTTCTGTTCGTAAATACTAGCATGTTACTGGTATAGTTGTGTCTACAGTCATGTTAGTTACTTCCCTTAGAAGTGTGAAATGGTCTCATAGGGGATGCTCGATTAAACGTTCCGGAATTGAATTCTGTCAATCCCAAAAATAGTCACAATTGAGTGAAAATGGAATTTTGGGCTACAACGCATGCACTGACCGCATGAGAAAATATCTCAACCAACCATGACAGCCAGAGGCGTAGCCGTGAAATATATATTGGGGGGGTCCGCAACCCTAACCCCTAACACTAACCCTATTTTAAAACCCCTACAAAATATAAACAAACACCATGTGGCCATGCTGTCTACACAACTCGTTTGGTGATTGGCCCACCGCCTGCAAAGTATTATGGTTACGTGGCTGGCTGAGGGGGCAATAAATATTTGGTTTAGGCGATAATGTTTTTGGGTACCTACATGCGATTCACTCTGATAAGTGGCAGAAAAAAATTAACTAGACACAATTTTATGGAACACAGTTAATTTCACTTCACACATGTTTCTAGGATGATTCTCTCTGTGTTTTATTTTAGCAATGTAAACCATATTGGGATATGTACAGGTTTTATACAGATAGAATCTTAACTAACCCTAATAACTGTTGTAAATAAATAGGAGTTAGGGTCTACTATGTAAATTTTTTGGGGGGTCCAAGTATATTCAGACCCCCCCAGAAAAAAAATTGGGGGGGTCGGACCCCCCCCCATGTGTGACGCCCATGATGACAGCTGAACTTATTTATTAGGTTTAATTATGGCGCAATTCTACTCACACCACCTCTGTTGTCGGGACTGACAGAACTGTGACAGGACTGAATTCTGCGTCTCTCGCTTGCAATTCCGTCAATTCGGAGCGTTCCAGACTGACAATCAAGAACCCCCACATTTGAGTAATTAGAATTTGAAGAGTGAAGAATTTCTGAAAAGAAGCAGATATTGGATGTTAAGGCTTTGAATCATTAGATATATAAATCGCACATAACGGGGGGACTAATGAGCAATCAATGAACCTACTCAATATCTACCCCTGGGTCATCTATGTAGGTTACCATTAAACAAATGAACAGTGTTTTAAGTATTTATGAACCAGAAAATCCATGTTCAGCATCATGTATGTAGATGTATTTGTAGTTTAAGAACCATTGATAAATATGATTCGTTAAATGTATGGGTGCGGTAAGGGTGAAATGATTTGTGCTGCCCTTCACACCTTTCTCTCTCACACATGATTATGACATTGGAGTGGAACTAACAAAAATAACCTCACACCATTTGTCTTGCTCACATAATTTAGGGATTGTAACTAACAAAGATTTATTTGTATTGAAAGAGAATTATGTTTAATATATTGAGAGTTACATTAAACATTCTGACACCAAACTGTCATTAGTCGTCATTTCTATTTTATAATACCCAGGACAATTTACAGACATCTTAACATTTTATTTTAATCTTCTTTGAAATCCTGCAGTGAAGGTTTTTCTAGATGCATGACTAGGTCTTGTAAATACTTATCTAAGTGCTCTGATCGTTTTCTCTGTATAAAAGAATCTACATTTTTATAGGCCCACATTTTTATGTGGACGTATATTGTCGTCGCCCCTGTGAACACTCTACAGGTCACAATTTTTATCCAATTTTGATGAAACATGAAATATAGGTTTATCTCCCAAAGATCTTGGTTCCTTTCGATATTGGCATGTATGGATTAGGGCCCTGATTGTACGAAAAATCACGTTTTTAGCTGGTAGACATTCTAGAGGTCACGATTTTTACCCAAATTTGATGAAACTTGAAATATATGTTTATAACCCAAAGATATTTGCGCATTTTTGATGGTAACTTCCTGAATTATGCCCCTGATTGTACGAAAAATCACGTTTTTAGCTTGTGGTCCCTCTAGAGGTCACAATTATTATCTGATTTAAAAAACCATTCAGATATGTCACCGTTACACCCTAACAACGCTTGAGTTCTAATTTCATGAGCATCGGACCAAAACTGCCAGACAAAATGGCCTCCCCTTGTATGCAAATAGTGTAAATATATGGTATATCAAGGTTGCAAGTCTCTAGAGGTTACAATTTTGATTTGATTTTTATGATTGAAATACATGTTTATAACCCAAAGATCTTGGTTCCTTTCGATATTCGCACACTCTAACTTCCTGAATTATGGCCCTTAGTTGTACAAAAAATCACGTTTTTAGCTTTTGGTCCCTCTGGAGGTCACAATTTTTATCCAATTTATAAAAATGTTTGAATATGTCACCGTTACACACTAATGAAGGTTGAGTTTGAATTTCATGAAAATAGGACCAAAACTGCCGGACAAAATGGCCACCCCCCCGTACACAAATAGTGTAAATATGTATATCAAGGTCACAATTTTTATCCAATTTAAAAAAACGTATGAATATATCAGCAACCCTAATGAAGATTGACTTCGAATTTTGTGAAAATCGGACCAAAACTGCCAGACAAAAAGCCCGCCCCTCGTACACAAATAGTGTAAATATATGGTATATCAAGGTATATCAATATACTTGGACCCCCCCAAAAAATTTACATAGTAGGTCCAAACTCCTATTTATTTACAACAATTATTAGGATTAGTTAAGATTCTATCTGTATAAAACCTGTACATATCCCAATATGGTTTATACTGCTAAAATAAAACACAGAGATAATCATCCTGGAAACATGTGTGAAGTGAAAAGTACCTGTGTTCCATAAAATTGTGTACGCAAATAGTATAAAAGTATGTAATACCAAGGTTGTTGACTCTCTATATGTCACAATTTTTAGCCGATTTTTATGAAACTTTAAATGTATCTTTATATCCCAAAGTCCATTTCGATATTTGCACATTTTAGATCATAACTTCCAAAATTATGGCCCCTGATTGTATGAAAAATCGTTTTTATACGCCCACATTGAAATGTGGTCGTATATTGTCCTCGCCCCGTCCGTGCATCTATCCATCCCTCCGGCTCTACAGGCTAAAGTTAATATCCCATTGACTTTAAATTTATACACAGTGTTTAAGGTCATGAGATGAAGAAGCCTATTGATTTTCAGCAATTTCCGATAGTTACTGCCAGAGTTATGGCCCATGATCACTTCAAAAAATCTTGTGGACGCTCTAGAGGCAAAAGTTAATATCCGATTGACTTTAAATTTATACACATTGTTTAAGGTTATGAGACGAAGACGCCTATTGATTTTCAGCAATTTCCGATAATTACTGCCAGTGTCATGGCCCGTGATCACTTCAAAAAATCTTGTGGACACTCTAGAGGCCAAGATTAATATCCGATTGACTTTAAATTTATACACATTGTTTAAGGTCATGAGACGAAGACGCCCATTGATTTTCAGCAATTTCCGATAATTACTGCCAAAGTTATGGCCCTTGATCACTTTAAAAAATATTGTGGACGCTCTAGAGGCTAAAGTTATCATCCGATTGACTTTAAATTTATACACAGTGTTAAAGGTCATGAGATGGAGAAGCCTATTGATTTTCAGCGATTTCGGATAATTATTGCCCTTGATCACTTGAAAAAATCTTGTGGTAACCTATCTTTGTTTTCTTTTTTAGCTTGTTCTCTATTCATCTCTTGCAAAATGTGGGCTTATCTTGCCTGGCAACAGCTGATAGTTCTATAAAGCATGGCTGTGTTGCTATACCATAATGTTGTAATAGGCCTTTAGGGATTTATTGCCTTTACTGAATAGTGGCATGAAGTAATGAGCCCTACTGTCAATAATTTTACCATAAACACAAATTATATATACGCACTGGCTCATCCTTTGAGGGCAATAAATAATTATTCCAATATTTTATGTTGCAAGCATTATTATTCTCGAGGTAGCTATAAAGTTCTGCTTTCTAAGGATGATATGTTAAAATTTATTGTAGTAAAATACAATATTAATTATGTATACATTCATTTGTAATTATTCAACTAGAACATGGCAAGTCTACTTATATAAATTTTTTGTTTCAGGGTATTCTCGGTTCTGGGTTTGCCTTAAAAGTACAACAAAAACAGAGACAGAAACATTTTAATCGACAAATTCCAGCTGCAGCAACATTAATACAGGTCTGTGTTTTACCTCAATTTAAAATACAATCTCAAACATACCAGACATGATCCCATGTAATAAAACTCATATAAGACTTTTACTATACAAGTTATATCTAACTTTACACACGCTTCGTGAAATGGGCTCTATGGTATCTTTTAAGGTAACCAAAGGTCAGGGATGGCCACCCTATGGCACATGCATCAAACGGGGTGCATTGAATGATTAGAAGTGGAACTTTGCATCATTGTGATGATAATAAAGTAGGGCAGTAAACCTGCTCATTATTTTTAGTGATTTTATTAGTTTGTGCACATCCTTTTGAAGGACACATAAGATGGGTGAGAAAACTTTTCAGTATGTATAGCCAATGGTTACTATATCCACTTTACACACCAATCTGATTAAAATTAATTCAGCCATCTTCACTCTAAGTCACAAAAAGAGACCTCCCATAAAAACGACTTTGCCAATTGTCGAAAACACTGTTTATTCCTTAATTACCTATATACAGCCGGCATGTGTATTCATTAATGCCTGACTGATTCCTTAATCCCCTAATTAAATAAAACAATTGACTATAGAATAATTTGTTTTGTAATTTATTTTAATTTAATTTAAGATCCAATTTATAATTTGTTTTATAATGTCATAACAAAGACAGTCGATGTATCTATATCCCTGTGTCATTTTATTGAGAATAAGCCGACATTAAACCAACAATAATTGGCTTCCGATTAAAATGAGATTGGTGTGAAATTGTTATCGACAGTGCTACAAAAATCCAAACGATTCAAGATATATACATTTTCATTAGAAGAGTATTATGGTTCTAATTTCCTGGAGTACAGGAGTAAAAAGATGTGATCAGGCAAAATGTATCATATAAGTCAAACATGATTTGAACGCTATTTGTAAATGACGATCCGTTATCGGAGAAGCCAACTGTATCTCGTTTTCCTGTAGCCATCATACGGCGCCTTTTTTCTCCATGTGGATTTGACTTTATTACTCTGAAATAGGCCGTAAAAATGAAATACGAAAAAATATCTCAATATACGTTAGAATTAACAGTACAAATAAATTTGACCTAATTAATTTTGTTGGCAACCATCTAGATGGATCAAACTATCTTCAGTGTATTAATACTAATATGGCAAGTGTAGTGTTGTTAATATCTGTCATCAATCAATCAGACTGAAGTTGCACAGACATGGGATCATAAATTAATTTACACCTCGATGTCATACTAATGTGTGTGGGATTAAGAGCACTGATTAGGTAATTATCTTTAAAATTCACTCTAAAATATTCCAATCACAAATGTCTAATCTTCAACAATGCAAGGTGATAATTCAGAGATTATGATTAGGCCAGTCATATGTTAACTGGACCGTCAATAAACACTTATCAACTGGTGGTGTGTATAGACAGTGATATATTGTATAGATAGTGTATATAACGTCACCAGCCAATCAACCGGATTAAGGGTGTAATTGAAAAATTGAAAAGCATTTTTGGGTGTCCGATACTTAAACCTTAATATGTTGAATAATTTTAACTGGATTGATGTGAACTTACCTTAATAGTTACCACTGGCTATAAGTACATAAAATCTAGTTTTATCATCTTACGTAACCCTTAAGTGAATGCTATCTTCTTTCAAATTAATCTGTTAAAAAATTAAATGTGCTTAATGAATCAAACAAGCAAAGATTGACTTTTGTTCTAAAAATGTTAATTAGGCCTGTTATAAACATATTTTAACAAGAGTTGTATGACGTATCTGATTTTATGTGACGCATGATATGTAAAATGTTGGCCACCCCTCTAGGTACTTGTATGTGGGCTGCCTGGAACAGTTAATCACATTTTCTGAAAACGAACTAACATAACAATGATAAAATCATTCAAAATGTGTTGTGGAATATTTAATTCTAAAGTTAGTTAATCAACTAATTATTAATAAATGATTGTATTTTCTAGTGTTTATGGAGATGTTATGCTGCAGATTCATCATCCAAATCTGAAGCAACATGGAAAATACACATTCATGATCCAACTTCAGAGGAGACAGTATTAGCCAGGGTTGCTCGAAGAGCTAGTTTAACTTTACGAAAGAGAAGAATGTCACGATTAGATTCAGCAGTTACTAATCATTTTCATAGAGAAAGTGTATCCTCCATATCTTACAATGATAATGATAAATCAGGATCAGGTACTCAAAATATTTCAGATGAAATTAACTCTTTTTGTGTAGTGCTACAGAAGAATTACCCACACTTATTATTTATTTTTAATAGGTTTGTCAATAGCTTGTGTGAAAGTAAGATGAATTGGGGTTTAACATCCTACTTTTCTAGTCCATCTAAGCTAATGAAGACTGGCTTATGCCATGCAGTTTTGTATGCATGCAATTTTGGCTGGACAGCAGTGCTACAGCCCATGGGTTCCACGTCGGCCATATATGCTGGTCAGGATCTAGGGCTATGGAAAATGACCGTAACTAGAGCTGACCCAACTGTCATTTTGCATGTCGGAAAGAGAGCCTTTTTTTTCAAAACTCAATTTTCAAACATGGCTACGACTGACCTCCACTATGTAACTATACAATTGTACGGCCAGTACAGAATAATCCACACGTATAGAAGCCACATAATCTGCTGATTGGTGATATAGACTTGTATACAGTCGTCAACAGATTATACTGAGTGTAGTGTTGATAATGATGAGTGTCTGGTAGTAGAACAATAAAAGTTAATTGATATGTGGGAATCTAATCAATGGCGTGAAGCGGTTATTATGATCTTTGAAAAAGGGCAATTGATATGAAGTACTGCTCTTCGAATCCAATCAACTGTCATATCAAATAAAAACAACATAGAAATTACGTAAATCCTCAACAACGTACGTGTTGGGAGAAAAATGCATTTATAATTTTTTATAGCGCCATTATAGTTAATTATATATGTTACAAGTCCCTGTAGGTTACAGGTCCCTTCGTTCATTGTTAGTTCTCGTGATACGAGACATCCGGGTTATCTATTATGTTATTGTAATGGTGGCACGTCAATTAAAGTTATCAACAGTTGTCGCTGTCTGTGTTTGTCCCTGTAGTACTCCCCACTAAACTGTCGTGGTGGCTGATTGTGGATTTATTCCTTACGTCTCCGTGAACTGCAGGACTCGGCAAACAAGAAATATCATTCAACAGGCAGGTTACAGTGTACTGTAAATAGATTTCTGTTGGCTCGCGTAGAAGCGCGCCATATAATTTTTACTTTTAAGACGAACCCCCATCAATTTATCAATCAATGGCTTCAACTCGCGCCCCAAAGCAGCGTGTTTTGACAAAAGATGAAACTATCACCTCGTTCGAGGCCTGGAAACAGAACCTTACATACATTTTATCTCTAGATGACAACTTCGCCCCATTCTTCGCTCCCGATATTGTATGGTCTAAGAAAAGCAGGGATAACCCAAATCGAGGCTTTACCGACGAACGTGGGAAGACTGCAGCACAAAAGGTGGTTTTTTTAGAGCTCATGTTGGGTCAAATCGCCAATTTTTGCCCGGTGATAGCCCGCAACACCATTATTCACAAGTCTGTGAGTATAAGCTCTGTTTGGCAATCAATCCGTGCTCACTATGGATTTCAGAATAGTGGGGCACAGTTCCTTGACATCTGTGATATGAAACTAGAAATGGATGAAAAACCAGAAGACTTATTTCAGAGGCTGATCGCCTTCGTTGATGACAATCTATTAACTGTCGGATGCGGTCTTACACACTATGGAACTCAAGTTACCGAGGAGGAAATGTCTCCATCCTTAGAAAATCTGATAACAGTATTATGGCTTCGTTTAATCCACCCCGGTTTGCCCAAGCTCGTTAAGCAACGGTATGGAATCCAATTACGTACATGTACTATCGCGTCACTTAAACCAGAGATATCAATGGCCTTGTCATCCCTTTTAGAAGAGGTGGAAACTGCTGAAGAGGTTCGTTGCATGCGTATGGGTTCCCGACCACCGTTTCGCCCAGACTCCAGACTGCATAACCCCCCGCCAAGGCCCAGGCCACAAACCTTAAAGCCACAACGTGTTACAAAAAGATCGCCTGCAATGTGTCCTCTATGCTTACAATCCAACCGAGGTTCCACTGACCATTACCTCAGTCTATGTCCATATTTGCCCGAGAGCGACAGAAAGTTTATGTCACGAGCCAGGCAGGTTATCGTCGATTCTGACGATGATGAGAACACTGATATCATTTCAGATGCCAATAATGCTGATACGCCAACTTTGTCGGTTTCATCACGAAGAGTCCAAGTCGATCAGTCTCCCTATCTTGATGCATTCTACGACCACCATGCCATCCGCATAACCGTCGACTCTGGTTCCGAAACGAATATGATAAGTCATCCTCTCGCTCTCCAGTTGGGCATTCCTGTTACTAAAAGTACACAATACGCTACTCAGGCTGATGGCCGAACATTGTTAAACGTTGTCGGAGAAACTCGCTTTGAGTTGACAAGAGACGATCATATCTTATCATTCACCGCATTAGTCGTGTCCTCTATGGATGTGGAACTACTTGGAGGAACCCCTTTCATGTCTGTCAACGATGTAGCCGTGCGACCTTCCAAGCAACACGTACTTATTGGTGGCCATATTTATCCATACGGTTCCTCTTCTCCAAAGTCAAGTCCATCGGTACGACGCACTCAAGCTTCTGTTTTAAGATCGAATACTGCTACCACTATTTGGCCTGGTAAATTCATAGAAGTAGATGTCCCAGCTGAACTCGACAACATCGACACAGTGGCCGTAGAACCCCGGCTAGATCTCTCTCCCCATCAGACCGAAGCATTATGGCCTGCTCCGTCCGTCTTACGACCGATAGGCGGAAAGTTACGTATACCTAACTCTACTGATTTACCAATCATCGTTCGCAGAAACAGCCACTTTTCTCAGGTGCTACCTGTGTATAACCCCCTGGTATCACCGAATTCAGCCAATGACATACACACACTGACCACATCCATGCCCAATCCGCCCTCATCTGCTGTTACGCTTGATCCGGATGAAATACTGTCACCTCTTGTTCACAAGCAGTTTCGCACCCTACTACGACAATACGACTCTGTTTTCAGCACAACACCCAAGGGCTATAACGGTGCATTTGGTCACTTCACCGCAAAAGTCAATATGGGTCCAGTCCTTCCACCCCAACGAAAAGGGCGTGTCCCCCAGTATGCTAAAGATAAGCTAGATGAACTACAATCCAAATTTGATGAGCTTGAGAGCATCGGAGTCTTCCGGAAACCCGAGGACCTGGATATGGTAGTCGAATACTTAAATCCGTCATTTTTGATCAAAAAGCCCAATGGTACATACAGACTGGTGACTGCGTTTGGCGAAGTCGGCAAGTATGCTAAACCACAACCATCCCTGATGCCAGATATCGATTCAACCTTACGGTCAATTGCCAGTTGGACTTACATAATTGCTACAGACTTGTCAAATGCCTTTTACCAAATTCCCTTATCCGCGGATTCTATGAAGTTTTGCGGCGTCGCTACCCCATTTAAGGGTATCCGGGTATATACTAGGTGTGCCATGGGTATGCCGGGCTCAGAGACAGCGTTAGAAGAGTTAATGTGCCGTGTGCTGGGAGATTTGATACAACAGGGATTTGTCGCCAAAATTGCCGATGATTTGTACTGTGGGGGGAATACTCCTGAAGAACTCCTAAAGAACTGGCAGGCTGTTCTCAATGCCTTACACACAGCCTCTCTCAACTTAAAGGCCTCTAAAACAATCATCGCACCGAGAAAAACTACCATTCTTGGATGGACCTGGTGTCAGGGATCTTTAACTGCAAACCCTCACAGAATCGCCACCCTATCGACGTGTGCAATCCCTAAGACTATTAAAGACTTGCGAGCCTTTATAGGTGCATACAAGTTCCTCTCACGTGTACTTCCGCAGTGTGCTAAATATTTGAGTCCACTCGATAGCCTAGTGGGAGGAGGAGCTCAGTCTAAAGATATAATCGTCTGGACGGATGACACGACTGCTTCATTCCACCTGGCACAGGCATATTTAAAAGATGCGAAGTCTATCACTTTACCAAGACCCAACGATCAGTTATGGATAGTCACAGATGGGGCAGTCAGAAGCTTTGGATTGGCCTCCACATTATACCTTATTAGAAACGACAAACTACAATTAGCTGGTTTCTACAGCGCGAAGCTCCCTGAACGAAAACATGGATGGAGTCCCTGTGAGATCGAAGCTTTATCTATTGCGGCATCCATCAAACACTTTGCTCCTTATATCATTCAGTCTGGTCACGTAGCTCAAATTCTTACCGACAGTAAGCCTTGTGTTGAGGCTTATTCCAAGTTACAAAGGGGTGAATACTCTACTAGTCCAAGAGTGACCACATTTCTATCCATTGCCAGTCGATATCAAGTTTTCATTCGCCACCTAGCCGGCAAGGTCAACATTCCGTCAGATTTTGGAAGTCGAAATGCTCCAGATTGTGAAGATATGAGTTGTCAAGTGTGCTCATTCATATCGGTTACCATGGACTCTGTTGTTCGTGCCGTGTCTGTGAAAGATATTATGAATGGATCGGTCAGGCTGCCATTTGTTAATCGCTCCATGTGGCGCCAGGCTCAGCAAGATTGTAAGGACCTGCGTCGAGTGCATGCCCACCTTGCACAGGGCACTCGACCATCAAAGAAATCTACCAATATTCATGACGTCAAACGGTACCTCAATACCGTCTCCATCGCATTAGACGGAACCCTAGTCGTTCAAAAGTCTGACCCTTTAGCTGTGACTCGAGACTTAATCGTCATCCCAAGGGACCTGATACTAGGTCTACTCACTGCGTTACACATTCGTTTGGATCACCCCTCAAGCTACCAAACACGTCTTATCGTTCGTAGATATTTCTACGCATTGGATTTAGATCAAGCCGTGGACGCTGTATCTAGAAACTGTCAACAATGTGCAGCTCTTCGCAAAATACCATCTTCTATTATTCAACAAACTAGCGAACCCCCACCTAAAGCTGTTGGAACCTATTTCGCCGCAGATGTTTTATGTCGCGCCAAACAGAAAATTCTCGTACTCCGTGAATGTGTTACCTCCAAAACTTCTGCGACCCTAGTTCCGGATGAAAAGCACCAAACTATCCGGGACGCCCTTCTCCAATTGTGCATTGAGATGGTACCAGTTGAAGGCTGTAGTATTATACGCTGTGACCCAGGCCCCTGTTTTCAAGCTATAGTTAATGACCGCTTACTGAACCAACATGGTGTTTATGTCGAGCTTGGCCGAACAAAGAACATAAATAAAAACCCTGTAGCTGAACACGCCATCCAAGAAATCGAGGATGAGATCCTCCGACAGGACCCTTCAGGATCCCCCATCACCCCAGTTTTATTAAGCTGTGTCATTGCGCGCGTTAATTCTCGTCTTCGGGCCAGTGGTTTGTCGGCTAGGGAAATGTGGTGCAAGCGGGATCAAATCACCAATGAGCAGTTACTCATCGATGACAGTAATCTCATACATGCTCAACAAGTGCGACGTCACCAAAATCATCCTTACAGTGAACGGTCAAAAAACCCTCTTGGCAAGTCTGGTCCTCCACAGAACGTCCGTATTGGGGATTTAGTTTATTTATTTTGTGATCGTGATAAAAACAGGGCACGTGACAAATATATTGTCTCGGGTGTTCAGAACGGCTTTCTACAACTTCATAAGCTGAGGAACTCTCAAATCCGCTCGAAGACATACTCCGTCCATCCTACAGAGGTTTACAAGGTAAATATTTCCCCCACAGCTTGCTCCGTTGCTTCAGATGATAGCGAAGATGATACGGTCATCATTCCTTCTGTATTGACCACACCACTCGACCCGACTGCATCAGCTCAACTACCCGACCGTGGCGAGGCAGAAGCATCAAGCAGTTCGTCAGAATCTGATCTTATCGATGATACCCTGAACATCCAGACCCTGTCAAATACAGCAACAAGTGTTTCTTCTAACATACCAGGATTACCACGAAATCGTACACGCCAGTTGCCTAAAAAACTAATAGACTATGTTCTTTATTAAGACTTTTAAGTGTTTTCATGTCTAAAAGTTATTTTTAATTCCATAAATTGTTCTACAAGAAAAGGAAAAAAAGGGTCGCGCCATTATAGTTAATTATATATGTTACAAGTCCCTGTAGGTTACAGGTCCCTTCGTTCATTGTTAGTTCTCGTGATACGAGACATCCGGGTTATCTATTATGTTATTGTAATGGTGGCACGTCAATTAAAGTTATCAACAGTTGTCGCTGTCTGTGTTTGTCCCTGTAGTACTCCCCACTAAACTGTCGTAGTGGTATTACGGCCTTGTGGGAATTGTAGAAATAAAATCTAGAGATTAGTTAACTTGATTACCGAAAAATCAAGAAAATTACGTATTCCAGTTCTATTGTGCAGCAATATTGATAATTCCATGTGTAGCAAAAATGTTGTGTATATACGGTTACTCTTATACACGACGATATTCTAGGAGGCGCAAGTGTCGCTAGCTGTGAAGTTAGTTATCCGTTGGTCATAGTTATACATTATTAGGATTTACGTCACAATTCTGCAGCTCGTAATCCCGTAAGAGATGGTCTAAAACCAATAAATGTGAGATATATGCCGTGGATAATTATATATGTATCTTCATTTCAAAGTTATTGTATTATAACTCAAAATTATCCAGGTCAGTGTGTTTTCTATAGAGCATGTGGTAATTACATGTGAGCTACTGAAATGGTTTTTCTACAGCCAATTCAGCTATTTCGTTATTTAAAGAGCCAAAACGGAAGATTTAATTAAACATACATTATGCAAGAGCTAAATCTGTCTATTGCAGGTCTTTCTTTAGGCCTGAAATGTTATCTAAATTATTAATTAGACATTAATTAACCTATCCAGTCCATAATCAACTCTAGATGGCTTCGCTAGCCTGCGATCTTTAGTGGATTGTGAGCCGATTTACTGCATAACTTTCCTTCACGATTTAACGCTTAAATGGATAATCGAGACTATGCTGTTTATCGTACTGACTTTAGTAAGGATGATCAAGGCTAGGCGGAAAATTCAATTGCTTTGTTCTAGGTTCATAGTGGATCAATTTTAATGAAATTTTCAGCAAATTGCCTTTACATTATCTAGTTTTTAACTATTATAGTGAGAACTGCCAACTCGTTATGGAATCTCCCATAATGTATCTTTAATAAATAATTATCATAAGCCTTACTAATATTTCATTTTTAAGTCCATTATATATTTTTTTGTGTACCCTATGCTGACAAAGTGGTATAGACACGTGAATTCACAATACCCTACCATGAATAAAAAACATGAAATATGAATTTACTTTGAAAAGTTTTCTCGGGTTATCAAAAATGACCGGCATTGAAATTTTTGAAGTGGAAGCCCTGCTACAGCCTACTCTTATTTCAAATTTCAACAGTTCTTTTACATTCACTCCAACGTGTACACAGGACCTTTGTTTTTTTAAGGTCCATCCTAATAACTAGACACTTTTTCTTGCCAGGCCCTCCATTCTGCACTACTAATGAGGGGAAACGACATCGTAAAATCCAAAAGAAATTTCTTGGTGAAAACAGGAATCGAACATGGAATCTCTAGGTTAGCGAGCCAGCACCTCTCCACTGAGCCACCGCGGAATCCAGCTTTTGTGGACGTTTCATCTGAAAATATTGAGTCATTCAGAAGTTATCGCTTCATTATTTATGAAATTTCACTGAGACAAAAACTTACAGCCATGACTTTGGCAAATGTGTAGATATTGCTAACCAGGGACTTGGGGACAGCTTAGAATTTGTTGCACTGGACTAGAATAAAGGTTTCAAAAGGTCTATAGTTTAAATGTTATATTTTGTTGTTATAACTTTACATCTAAAGTTCCATGCATGGTTATAGGCTATTCTTTAGTTACACCTAAAGGTTCATGGTGTTTAAATGTTATATTCTTTAGTTACACCTAAAGGTTCATGGTGTTTAAATGTTATATTCTGTAGTTACACCTAAAGGTTCATGGTGTTTAAATGTTATATTCTGTAGTTACACCTAAAGGTTTATGTTGTTTAAATGTTATATTCTGTAGTTACACCTAAAGGTTCATGGTGTTTAAACATTATATTTTATAGTTACACCTAAAGGTAGTAGAAAAGATAGTCATCGTGCTAGTATATGCGGTGGTACTAATGAACAATTTGTAGATGATACAGATTATGATGGAGATGAAACAGAAAGGGTTGCATTGTAAGTTTACGTGAAAACTACATAATGATTTTTTTCATCCATGTTATATTAATTTTCACAATTTTATTTTAAAACTATTTTCACATTTTTTTATTTTTAAACTGTTTTCACTGTTTTTTATTTTTAAACTATTTTAATTACCAGGACAGTAGAAGTTATTAATTTTATATCAATTCAGACAAAATAAATTGAAATTAACCAAGGCAATAACATTAACCCCTTTTCTTTCATAATAATGCCTACTTTAATGTTTTTAGTTTTAATTTACTAATATTATATTAGTGTTGATTAATTATCTTATAGATTAACAGAAGCACATAAAACTGCTATCAGAGTTATTAGAAAAATCAAATATTTTGTAGCCAGGAGAAAATTTCAGGTAGTTTAGCCTTTTTATACACTCACATTAAAATGTGGTCTTATATTGTTGCCACTCTCGCCCACAATTGCTATAGTTATCATCCGATTTTCCCAGTTTTCATGTTCATATGACAAAGAAGCCTATTGCTTTTGACCAATTCTCGATGATAACTGTTAGAATCAGGGCCATCGGTTGATGAGAGTGAGTCAAAGTGGTTATTTGCAACATTTGTGATTGATGAATTTGAAAATTCTTGTGGCTACTCTCGAGGCTTAATTGATCAGTGTTTTGGCCCTTAGTCACAATAAAATTTTGTGGAAACTTTAGAGACTTAAGTGATCATCGGGTTGACAAAGAAACCTTTTGATATTCAACAATTTCTGAGTTATTGCCCTTGACCACTTTGAATATGCATGCTCAAAATTCTTATGTTATCTTTGATTAGCTTTAGATTTATACACAGTTGTTTTTGTTCATGAGATGAAGACGTTTATTGGTTTTCAACAGCAAATTACCTGTACCTGTTTTGCATAATAAATGTTAGCACTAGGTAGATCTAGAAGCCAATCAAGTTTTAATTATTTCTAATAATTACTTCATTCTTAATTAGTTTTGAGTGTCTTGTAAATGCTCCCCATTGGATACAAAAGAATAGATATGCTACAACCTTTGTGGGCTGCTCTGATAATTTAGCTAAAGTGGGCATATATTTCATTACCTGGCAAACTATCTTTAACATTGATAATGTTTTATGCATATCTCTGTTAGATATTCCTCAAAGTCACACACCCACTTTGATCATGTGAAATGTTTTATAAATGGCCAAAATTGATTTCATATGTAATGTTTGAAAATATATCAACTGTTGATGTCATTTAAATATATTTTGATTTGATAGGATGGGATAAGGTGGGATATAAAGTGATTCATGGGATATAAGATGAATCATGTACTAAATATACTTGCTTTTTTCTACATTAAATATACATACAATGGTTGGGCCTGGTATGGTTTCTAATGTAATTTTTTAATACATTACTAAACCATGATTCATGATGACAAATACTTTTTATTACATAATACAGTTAAATTTAAAATAATTAATATCATTCTTATAATAATAACTTGTTTATATTATCCTGCTAAATTAAACTAAAAAGGGCATTTCATGATAACATTTCAGCAAGCAAGAAAACCATATGATGTTCGAGATGTGATCGAACAATACTCTCAGGGTCATTTAAATATGATGGTTAGAATCAAAGAATTACAAAGAAGGTACTGTTATATATTATATTAATTACACCCTCCCCCAAAATAATTTATGACAGCTAGGTATAAATGATTAAATAGAACATAGATCGTATTGCCTGTATAGTAGTTTGCCGGAAAGCAATTTTATTCAAGTTAACATAAAGTACTATGATTGTTATTGATTTTGTTATTATTTTTTTGTAAACCTTAGAAGCACTTACTTGATCTCCGAGGCGCTTACTTGGTCCCACCCCCCACCCCCCCAACTTAAATCCACACCTGCGATTTATTGTTTTATGATATTCAACTCAGTCCTGCAATTAACTAACCTTGGTAATAGCCAGTCTATTTTTATTATATTAAAGTCGTGGACACACTTGATATTTGATTGGCTTCAGCATTTGTTGGCATTGTGGTTATATAGCCTTGATCGTAAAGTATCAGCCTAACTATTACCAAGGATAGCTAAAGGATTTTGTTAACACTTGGTATGTGACTTTATATTCATGAGATCTTAGATGTGTTCAAATTTCAAGATTCATCAATTATTTGCAGAGTTATCATCCTTGAAATAATAGAAATATGTCAAGAATAACAAACACCTTTGATTGAATGTAATGAAGCTTCTTATAAAGGAGATTTCTGATGAGTTCGATCAAACTTGAACATGTTTTATAAATAAGTCCAGGAGTAATCGCCCATCCCAGAGTAAAAATATCCTGAGAATAGCTAGCGAACACGTCTACAATTTTCATCTGATTTAAATAAAACCTGCTTGCTATATGTGGCTATATATAAATCAGATAACTTGATTCCTTCTGCTGTAGTGGCCGTTCATTTAAAATAATGCACACCCAGACATTTTTAGATTATTTCTCTTATTATACGAGAATCTTGTTACCTAAATCTATCTAGGTGGATAATCGTTAGCCCAATAATATTCTACTGCTGAGTATATTTGTCTTGGTTTCAGATTAGACCAAACACTAGGTAAACCTAGTACCTTATATGGTAATCATTCCAGAGATAGAGAGAAATCTACCATTAGTGCTCGAATAGTTAGAGTAGAGAATCAGGTACATTTATACTTTTTAAACTCCACAATGAAATGTGAAGACAATAGGTTGACTCTGTCTAAAACAATCCTGTAGTTTCTTCTTCCGATAATGTGCCGGTTTCTGTGTTGAACATATTCGCACATGGTTAAAAGATTTTGTCAAATATATTTTCACATTTTCAAAGAAAGTTCAACAGTCCCGAACAAGAATTATTGCCTAAATTTCTTGATTAAATTAGTCCCAAAACTGGCTGATTATGTATGATAACACATAACATCAGGTATGCACAAGATCATGTCCCATCACAAACTTACACCTGTCCTGGTATTCTGTATAATCTATTGAATGGGAAATAACTGTTATATAGCCAACTGATATCACCAGATATAGGATGTACCAAACACAAACAGTATGTGGCTCAATACTACCATTACTGGATGAGACTGAGTCAAAGAGGATATATGCAACATTTGTAATCAATGAATTTTAAAAAATCTGTGGATACTATAGTAGCTAAAAGTATCATCCGAATGACTTGAAATTTAAACACAATGTTTATATTAATGTGACCAAGGGCAGAATCCTTTTAATTTTCGATGGTTTCTGATTATTACTGTTGGAATTATGGCCCTTGATCACAAATATGCATCTAATTGATGTTATATGTTCAAAGTTGCTGTAGGTGTTCGTTAGATGAATGTCTGAACTAAGTTTGATTATGAGCATTTTGTGCTAAACGTAGCTTAGCAATTTGATGTGTTGATGCTTTGGAAAACGATAGCTTTGATTTTATATTAAGGTTGATAATGACCATTTTCTGCTGGGGTTAATACAGTATATGTTTATATTAACATATACATTTATGTTGACAGATATCCAAATTAGATCAGAAAATGGATCAAGTATTAATTTTACTTAAAACTGTTGTTAAAGATCGACTAACAACAACAACAACAACAACAATAATAGCAGAAGAAAAGAATGCAGGTGATGTTTGATGTTGCTTCGTGTTTATTATAGTTTTTATACTATAATTTAACTGTGTATGTAGAAGTTGAATAATTCAGATGGTTGTGACTTGTGGCATTAGAAAAATACTCATAATTACAGTATACATTGTACATGATAAATAAAACTGCAATATAATATATATATATCGTAGATGGTTGGTACATTATGTTTGAAGGGTAAGAGGTGTTGGGGGTTGTTTCATTAATAACGGAAAATTATAGTTTTAATTATTACTTATTAGATTTTATCAGGCAATAATATAATGTAACACAGTTTCATATTTGGAAGACATTTGTGAAGAAGAGGAACATTGTATTTTTAAGAGCGTTATCATTGATTGATGAGTTGAAAGAGATTTATGTCCGCGAAAAAACTTATTATACTCATATCATTGGCACCAGTAGTGAAATAGACTACTAATATTTGTCTATCCATGTATGTCTATTTTTGTGTTTTTATAACTTTTGGTTCTCTTAAACATACATTATGCAAGAGCTAAATCTACCTATTGCAGGTCTTTCTTTGGGCCTGAAATGTTATATAAACTATTAAATTAGACATTTATTAACCTTAATCAACTCTCGATGTCATCTTATGTGTCGTATTTTCTCTGGATTTGAATCTGATTTGTTGCTCAACGCTCATTGATGATTTAATCCAAAAGTGGAAAATTGAGACTATGTTTTTTTATGTACCAACTTTAGTAATGATGATCGAGGCTAAGCCTAATATTCAGGCACCAATATCTCTGTTCAGAGTGGAGCAATTTAAGTGAAATTCTCAGCATATTACCTTTACATTATCTACCAGCTCTTTATCTAATCTCCCATAATGCGCCTTTAATTGAAAGAGATCAAAACTGAGCTTTAATTTTCACTATCAATTATAATATGCACAATTTCACATGCATATATAGCGCAATCTTCTTTTTTTAAAATCGTTTCTCATTCTTGCACATTGTTAAAATAAAAACAGTATAATGTAATGGTGATATATGCAATACCAAAGAATATATTTTAATCAAAGGGTATTGTATTTAGTTTTCAGGAAAGGTTAGGTCACAACTAGAAGTATAATGTATATACACATGTTAAAGTATTTTCTTGTTTATATTTGATATTTATATTAATAATATTGAATAATGATATTATGAAAATATATTGATATAAGAAGATATAAGACGTTAAGAGAACATTATTATGATTTTATTATACATTATTTCAGAACTTTATACAAAAAGTTACCAACATGTTTAATAAAAACTATTCGCTGTATATCAGCATGGTTCAAATAAACTATCCAATTACAGACATCTTGAACATATTTAATGTTCATTAACCACTGGACCTACATGTTTAACATAAACTATCAACTGTACTGACATGTTTAACATAAACTATCAACTGTACTGACATGGTTAACATAAACTATCATCTATACTGACAGGTTTAGCAGACACTATCCACATGATCGACATGATTAACAAACATTATGAACATATTATTATAATATTAATTATCCACTGTACCACAAACATGTTTAAAGTGAACAAAGATGGCCGACAATACTGTTCGGTATGTATAGCCAATTGTTACTATATCCACTTTTGGACAAGTTCACACCAATCTGATTAAAATTAATTCAGCTATTAACATTTTAGTCACAGGCACTTGAAGGGATTAAAAGAAAACTTCTTACTACTGCTTGACTATATATTATAGTATAATACTAATCCCTTCAAGTGCCTGTGGTTTAAGTATCCGACAGAGCAAAACGTGTTTCAATTTTTCAGTTACAACCTTAATCCGGTTGATTGGCTGGTGACGTCACAGAGACTACACATAGTATACATTATCTATACAATATGTCCCTGTCTATACACACATACACAAAGAGCTTTGTAAGTGAATTCACTTGTCTCTCATTCCTTTGATGATTTATGATCAATAAAATAAGTTTAAATTAAAATTAAGGAATAAACATTCCGAATATGCATATTAAATACCGTAAAGAAATAACTAAAATAAAACTCTCAAGCCATAATCTTAACATCGAAAAGGGAAGATATAATAAAATTAAAAGATGCGATAGAATTTGTACTAACTGTAATTTAGAAGATATTGAAGATGAATATCATTTTATTTTAATCTGCCCATTATATACGGATTTAGGACTAAATAAATAAATACTTTTTTTTTTACCAACCCCAGTATTCATAAGTTAATTCAATTATTAAATATAGATAAAACTATTGAATTCATTAATCTAGGGAAATTTCTATATTTGGCAAACAAGCAACGTGCATAGAAAAACGTTTGCTCTCCTATATTTCTAACATATGTTTAAATATCTAACCCAGATTGATATGTGTGTATATATATGTTTGATATTGTTTTTGTACATATTGTATTTATTTATTTTGTTTGTACTGTATGGGGGGGGGGGGATGGCTGAATGGTTAGCGTGCGCGCGCTGTATCATAAAGTCTGTCATTGAGTCGACTGGCGTGGTTTCGAATCCCTGGTTGTACGTGACAAGGAGTAGGGTCGCCTGTCCAACCTCGTGGGTTTTCTCCGGGTCCTCCGGTTTCCTCTCACCGCTAAAGACCCCTACACGCTAAGCGAATTATTGAAATAAAATTAAACCATATGTTAGTCCCGAAATGACCTAGTTTATGTCGAGTGGACGTTAAACCACATTTCACTCTCTCTTTCTTGTACTGTATGTTATACCTGATGAGCCTTTGATTTAAAGGAATAAAGCACTTGAACTTAAAACACTGGCGTCTGAGGGCATTTAGAGTGTTTTCGATAATTGGCAAAGTCGTTTTTATGGGGGGGTCTCTGTTTGCGATTTGAGTGAAGATAGCTGAATTAATTTTAATCAGATTGGTGTGAACTTGCCGTAAAGTGGATATAGTAACCATTGCTTATACATACCGAACAGTATTGTCGTCCAATGCACTTTAACATAAACTATCAACTATGCTGACAGGTTTAACAGAAACTTTCGCCTGTATTTACATGGTTAACATAAACTAACCATTGTACCAACTGTTCAACTTAAACTAATGCATTGTACCGACATAATTAACCTAAACTATCCATAGTATATGATTATTTATAACTAAAATGACTTCTTTGATTTAATTTAAGAGTTAAAGTTTTGGTTTATTTTGTGGAATTGATATATTTCTATGTCAAAGTTACTTTAAAGTTCAATTCAAATATGAAACTTAAATTTGCTAAAGTGAAAATTTATGGTATTTAACTTTATAATAAATAATACATTGTAATATATAACATCTCATATTGTACTTATTATTCCTCGCCTTTCAGAGAAAACACAATTAAAATGTGTCCATCTGAGGTTAGTCCGTCACACCTTTTGGAACACAATAACACTATGGAAGACCAAACAGCTCTTTATTCAGTATTCTTAATTTGAAAAAATTGTTGTTCAAGATTTGTTTTTCGATCTATGTTTCTGATGAAATGTAAATGTACTATTTTGATTTTCAACAGAAATTTTATCATTATATTAAAATACAAATAAATTAAACAAAAATACAATTTATAAATGTTAATATTTTAGTATACAAATGTCGAAATCGACAACATAAGAAATAAGAATTGAGGACTATGAATTAAAAACTAAGAATTAAGAACTATGAATAAAGAGCTGTTTGGTCTTCCATATAACATTGCTTTTAAATGAGATAGAATGTTCAAACTTGGTGTACATGTTCATAAGGTGATTGTCTTGAGTCTCTTGACTGAATTTGATGAGGGGTATAAGAGATAAACTATTCGATCTGTCTAGACTGCCCGTGCGTTTACCCTCACTCCCAGCCTCACCTTTCGACCTGCGAAAAACACATCTCAATACACAACGAACATACATAAATGTTAAATAAACAGCGGTGATTGTACTTAACCCTCGGCCAATGAACAGTTCGTTATTTTTTTAAATATTTTAGTTTGGGGTTTTATGAAAAGGGTCCAGGAGTTTTTGAGATTGAGTTATTACTCTTGTGGTGTCAATCATAACATTATGTAAGGCCCTCTTCTTGCCTCCGTTTATGGATGACAAAGCTCCTGGTGGATGAATATTTTGTTGTCTGTCAACGTTATGTTATTTATGTGTATTACCAGATTTCATGTATTGTACACATTATGTTTTTCTTAATGGAGTCATTCCAATGCTATGTATATGTAAATAAGCATACTTTTTACCCAAAATAACCATTCATTTAAATACTTACATATGCCCCTGAAAGGCTGACACAATTTAAATATTTTCAATATTTATGATATATAATGCATCATGCATGCTAAGCCAGTTGTATATAGTAAAGCATTATTTCTTCATTCAAAATCAATTTTTATCCTTTAATCAATCTGTTGTATGACAAATTCTACTATATTTAAACGATTTGTAAAGGAATGTCTATAATAAAATGTTATTCCTATTTATTTTCACAATTTGTACAAGTTGTTGAATGTACACAATAAAAGCAATTTTCAATTTTGTTGGGTTTTTTCTTTAAAGGGACTATCCCTTATTTGAACAGAGTCTCAAAAATAAAAGTCTGAGTATGTATGAAATTTAAACGCCAAAATATATAGGAATGGTGTATTAACCTTGTCTCAAAATTTCAGCTCGAAATATTGAGTCGTTTTGGACGTGACCGTCAAAACTGCTTATCCGAACACTAACCCTTTTAAGATTTCGGGTCAATTTTTTAGTTGGGTGACCTGATAATCGATTAACGTTTATTGAGAGGTCTATGCAGTGAATGACCCAAATGCTGTACTTGATAACGAAAGGTAAATTTCACCTACACATTATTTTTATACAAAAAATGTCTGGTTTTATCTAGACACCGCATAATACAACTTGTGACACCAGTCTCCATTTCCAGATGAAGACTGACGGGTTTCAGTTAGGTAGAGGATCTTAAAACAAAATTAAACAGTTTTATTCTTCAAAAAAATAATCAGGATTAGCCCTTTAATAATAATTAGTCATTTACGGTTGAGAGGAGACACGGTCCTGCAAGTTAATTGGCTTCAATAAGTACGTGTATACCGATATGTCGGTTGTGCTCTGTACAGTAACTACCCCAATCTGTTTCACAGAGATTTTTTAATATCTCTGTTACAGATGACTGTTTCGACACGTGACGTCACATCACGCGGCGTCCATCATTGGCTCAATAGCGCGTGCATTGTTTTGATAAGACGTCACAGATTCGGGCTAAATGGTGAATTTTACTTATTTTAATACCCATTTACACTAAATAGGAAATGATTTTTACCTACAAACAATTCAAACGACTTTATTTATTTTTCTAATAAATGAAAAAAATGTTTCAGAATTTAATTTGTCGAAAGAAAAAAGTTAATATTTTGTAGTCATTAAGTCGCATCGATGTCATCCTTATCAGTGATTGTAGCGGCCAAGCGAATATTCACTGCGGATCAGTGTGTAACTACCCAGGGTGTAGCATATTTTAGCAAATATCAAACTATAAGACAATTACTGCTGGTGCGGTGTCTTAACTTTAAGATAATTAGGAAGTATATTTATGGACCACGGTGGTTAAGGGCGTGGATTTGTCATAACTTTTTTTTTTGGGGGGGGGGGGACGGACGAACCCTGGAATCTGGAACATTTCATTACCAAACGAAATAAATAAGTACGAACAGTTTACTGTACCAGTGTTATTTCGATGAAGGCTGTAACTATAGGGAAGGCTGTAACTATAGGGTAATATGATGACAATATGGAAAAATTGACTACCTACATGAAAGCTGCATAAATATTAATTGTTCATGAAGTTAAGTGAATCGTCCAAAGACGTTCGTTCTACGATCAGGTCTGTTCTCTTTGAATATATTGGCGACTTGAAGGGGGTCATTATGAACCGCGCACGCCATCAAGTGGCTCAGTCGGTTTTGCGTCATGGAGTTGCGCAGCCGAGTTTTGATACGACGCAGAGTGCTGAAGGATCGCTCGGCTGAGCAGGAACTTGCAGGGTTCAGCAGTGTGAGATGAGAAGAGCTTCGACAGAAGGGAACGTCTGCCTCACTTCAGGTGACATAATGAGGAACGCTTCGTACACAAGTGAAATAGATTTGGCCGAAAACTGGAGCTTTAAGAATGGCAATTCTTGTTCCAAGTCCCGATTCAGCTCCAGATACGTAGAAACAAGCTCACCATCATGTGGATACAAACCTAAAAATCTGTCCTGGCGATCAAAATCATCGGGGGGGGGGGGCAGAGACCTATTGGTCCCCCTTCCGATTCTAATGGGGAGACGCGCCCCCCGTCCCTAAATCCACGCCCATGTCGGTGGTCGAGAGATTTTAGTGGCATCTCGGGTTTGAATCCGAGAGGATCCTTTGGAATTTTTCAAGCACGGTTGTTATAGGAGCTGACAAATGACATTGTGCCGAATCTTGAAATTTGCGATTCTACAGTCACAGTCATTATAGTGACCAAACTTCAAGAGGACCCTCTGTGAGTTAAGCAGGTTCAAGACTATACGTTGATGGGTGAGGATGATGATGAGAATGTCACCTCCAAGTCCCTAGGCGTCACCCTGGATGTCCTAGGGCCATACCACTGATATATGTCCAGATGTATTTGTAGTCCGCCTCCCCGCCACCAGAAGAACTATTGTAGTTCTGATAGGTAGATCCGATATTTGGAGGGTATCTACTCACCGTTTTGACAGAAAAACGCTACCTATGTACAGTAGCTGTACTGTAAAAATACGTAACTATATCGGTAGTCTAGCGTCATGCACGTTAGATGGAAGCATGCTGAAAATTGATGTACGTCTGAAAACACTGCATTCGTTGACCATTCGTTACACAAAAGCTATGTAGATGTTGGGCATTTGCTGTGACAAAGTTCCAGATCGACGAAAAGCGGACGAAGAAGCAACCTAACGTGCGAAACGTTCACAAAGCGAATGATCAACGTATACATAGCGTATACGTTGTCACCCGCTCAAAATTTTGAACATTTTCCTAGACCCAAACGTACTGCCAAATTGTCACGAACGTAATCCCAAATTTCCAAAAATGTCGTGAACAAGAACAAATTCAAAAATAAATAATAAACAAAACGGACGGGTGTTAATTTTTGAAACATATCAAAGATCGAATATTGATAATTATAATAAAATAGAATCATAGGCTTGTCAGTGATTCTCAACCAGTGTGCCGCGAGATCTTCCTAAATGTGCCGCGAAATTTCGAACGGCACACTAATAAAATGAGAAAAACCACGTAATCCCAATTGAGTATTCATTCACTAGTGTCTACGGGTAAGTTCATAGCTGTGTTTTATTTTATTTAGTTTGAGACATTCTATGTTTCTATGACCAGTCTGTGTCTATGACTTGCCATGTTTTTATTTTGCAAAATTCAAATATTTTTCATATATTATTTAGCCAGGTGTGCCGCTATTTTTTCATGTGTCCAAGGTATGCCGTTGGCAAAAAAAAGGTTGAGAACCACTGGGCTATGAATGCATATTTGGAATCAGTGAAACACCATACAGATTATATTAAACATACATTATGCAAGAGCTAGATCTGTCTATTATTGTAGGTCTTTCTTTGGGCCTGAAATGTTATATAAACTATTAATTAGACATTTATTAACATGAAAAGACCTTATTAATCAACTCTCGATGCCATCCTATGTGTCGGATTTTCACTGGATTTGAATCCCATTTGCTGCCCAACGCTCGCTGATGATTTAATGGATAATCGAGACTATGTTTTTTTTTTTTTTATCGTACCGACTTTAGTAATGATGACCGAGGCTAGTCCTAAAATTCAAACGCCAATATCTCGGTTCAGAGTGGAACAATTTGACTGAAATGTTTAGTATATTCCCTTTACACTATCTATTTTTTAACTATTATAGTGATAACTGTCACCTCTTTATCTAATCTTCCATAATGCCTCTTAATAGGCCTACAATAAAAACTGAATGAATTAGAATTGTACATATTGTTTATATTATTTACACACATGTTGTATAAAATCACTAATGGACATGGAGAGGTTCATCTACCTTAGAACCTTTACAATACAAAACAAACTAAATGAAGACCGTTTCAATTGTAATCACGTTTATTGTTAAGAAACAGAAGTCTTAAACGTCTAAATTTGACTCTCCGCTGTGTCCATTCCTCAGTAGCGGATTATCAGTGAGGCTGATGAGGCTGCAGCCTCAGGCCCAAAGATTTTGTAAAAAAAATTTTTTAGACTTGTCTGATACGATTAAAAACGCATAGACAATGAATGTTAGGGGGTGGGGTTTAGGCCCAACGGGAATCAACATAGGCCCTAACCCGAAATTAATTAGGCCCACGTCATTTTAAATAGGCCCTATTGTTTGGAGATCTGATCTTATTTTTTAAACGTAGGCCTAAAATGTTCGTTAAATCCTTGTAAGTTTTCGGTTATGTCTTGCTTAATATATTGTATCCACGTGACGTCATTTATGGGCATATAAAGTTACATTACCAATATCAAACGACTTTGGCTTAAGAAAAAATATCTAGCAAAAGATCTTGGACTAGTTTCGATGTAAACACCCCATCATGAGGAAATATTATCCTTGAAAATAGGTGTATGTACAGTTGGTTTCCGGTAACGTTTCTGCTGTCAAAGCATTTTGTACGACAAATTTCAATAGTTATAACTAATATTTTAATAAAATTATAACCTCAGTAACGAATCCCGTTTTTAATGTTAGCAACTACCTTGGCTCTAACTTTAAAAACTAAATAGGCCCTCCAGCAACTGCCGCCTCAGGCCTTGGTGGAGCTTAATCCGCCACTGCCCTTCCTTGTATCTTTTGAGACCAAGTAACTTTATTTAACCAAATCAACCATGTGGCTAAATTCCTTTTATATTATCATTTTAGAATAGTTCCTCCCCAAATCCTCTGAAAACGATTCAGTCATTACAAGATTGCCTAAATTTGATCCTTAAAGTAAAGGTGATTGATTGTTTACGTGGGCGGAACATGGGTTCGACAAAAATGGCGCAAAAGGCGACATCAATATTAAAACGTCTTTAACTTGATCTGGATCATAACAGTAAGGGGATATAACTCGTTGTTGATTGTCCAAGAACGACCAAATAAAAACACAACTCTTCATATTGTGCTGATAGCGTATAAAGACGAGATATCACCACTCCCCGTCCCCCGTCGAACCAAATAAGAAACAAAAAACCCTTGTATTGCTTGGCGGCACAACAACAACAAGAACCTAATAGACCAGTCAACTTATGACAAAAAAATGGATCAACCACTAAACTATTCCAAAAGGTTGTTTATTAATGGTTTCTGGTAGGGTTGGGTGTACTGATTGACATCGTAAAAGTTTACCAAAATTGGAGTATCGGAAAGTCCCAAATTGTGAAAGTAAAGTCATTTTCCTTTAAAAGGTTCAACTTCAGACAAGCTCAAACTCGTCAACTGACGCCTTCC